CATCTCCCTTTGCATCCCCAAGCACAAGTTGGTGATACCAAGATTATCTGAATGCTTCTGAAGTAATTTATTTTTTAACTTGCAACTTCTTTACATAACACCTCTGAGTGACAACCAGAGATCTGAAAAGAGTTTAGGATCAATTAGTTAGAAAGTAGAGGTACCACAGGTTAAGAAAAAGAGGGGAAAAAAGGTAGGGAAGAGTTCAAACCAGAGAGATAACATCACCACTGTAGTTCACTCCTCTGCCTTTTTTGAGTTGCTGTAAGTGTTGCTGCAATTAGAAAGTGGAAATAAGTTTAGAGCAATTGTGCAGATCCCTATGTGGCACCTCTGGGTTTCAACTTTTACCCAAATCTTGTTGTGTTTCAGAGCACTCTATTATAAGAATGCTGCATATGGCAGTGTGACAATTTGTACTCTGTAGGTCTGCAAAGGTCTGCTTTCTGTGTGCTTAGTAACAGGGTGGATGAAAGATGCCCAAACAGCTGGAGGGCATGTAGTAATGCTGGATAACTGCAGTACTCAGAGACAAAATTAATCTGCTCTTTGTGATGCATCCAGTGGAAATACTGTAATCTACATAAGCAGTTCAAGGTTTTCCTTGGCAAGCCTAGTGGTGTGATTGAATAGTGCTTACGCTTGAATTGTTGATAGCATGTAAGTAGTAAAGGCAAAGAGTGGTGAGGGAAACTCATATGTTCCCTGAGGTGTAAAAGAAAAGGAATTTGGAGAGTCTGATGAGGAACATTTCAAAACCCATCTTCATTTTCTCTAACACTGGTTACAGGAAGGGAGTTTCCTTCCATCCTAAGGGCTTGTTTGGGTAAGCATGGGCTATTTTTTAAGGATTAGGAGGCTTTAGGTGCTTGGAATTTGTTTTGTTACATATTGTTTTGATTAAATGAAAACATTTGGACTTGATTAAATGAGTTTATCTGGAGTTGTTCGAGGTTGTTTGAGTATTGAAAACAAATTAGATTATTTAATTACATGAACAAACTGTATTTATCAGTGGTTTCCTAGCTGCTTTGTTGATGATTTCATGCCCTGTACTAGTGTTTCCAAACCATAACTGCGGCAGCTTTATTGGAATCATCTTGCAAATGTTCTTTTTCTATGCATTGAGCCATTCAGAGACTCTCTTTGGGGGCATCTTGATGCACCTTCACTGCCTGGCTCATTTTGAACAGTGATACACAGCAAGCTGTGCCAGACTGGGAAGAGTTAAGGGTTTTGGATGCCAGAGCAATCAAAGCTTGCTATTACCAATTACATGCCCAAGGATGGGAAGAATACTTATTGTTAATGTTTTCTTAAACCTGTCTCCACGTTTCTAAAGGATGTGTGTTCATTTATAGTCAGAAAAATAATTAAGCTTGTTCAGTCATATGCTGGCTGTTCCTTAGAGACCATTGAGAGACTTAGGTTACAGTAGACCCAAGTGAGGAAATTGTTGCCTTTCTTAGATCCATTAATACTTCCTTTGCTTAGTTTGTAAGATACCCATATGTGAACTGAAATGGCTTCTCATCCTATGCAGACCTATCTTCACATTTTTATCAAGGGCTGATTTCACTCCATAATGGATACTTTTATTTCTTCTATTTTCTTATTTTCAGAGGAGATGGTAACAAGGCCAGTGAGAATCAGGCTTCAGTGTACCCTTTTTCTGAATGTCAGTTGAGCACTTAGGTGCAAACCCAGCATCTTCAAATGGCCTCTCCCAAAAAGCATGGGTCTGGTTTTTGTCTGGAATGTCCCTTATGCCTCTGGCGGTATTCTGCCATTCTGTTTAGGTTTTTTAGCCTCAATGACAAGACAAAACAAAGTAAAAAAACGTACAGGAGAGGTTGAGCTGTTCAAACATACCCTGGCTTTATGTCCTGTTTCTGTCTTAAGTGGTCCTTCCCCTGGGGCTCTTCGGTCTTTGTTAAATAGAGATTCCCAGAGCCTTGTCAAGGAACAGCAGAGGTTTCTTCCTCTGCCTGTTTGAAAGCTTATGCTCCTCCAGCTCACTGTTCTCAAATGGTCTGTGTGTATATTCCACTTCTAGTGAGGTTATTTGACAGTAATTTCCAGCACCAGTGTAACAATCAAATGCAGCTCCTTCTCCTGGCCATAAACTACCTGAAGAAATCATGAAACAAGAGTGTGACTGCTTATACCTATTTAAAATAATCAGAAATTTTATTTCAGTGTTGTGTGGGTTTTTGGGTTTTTTTAACTTTGGTCTTTTGTTTTCAAGTTGCTTTTTTTTAAAGTTCTCATAATATGTACTGTTTGAGATTGTCAAGTTTTCAGTTTAGCCTGAGATTACATCCTATTTGGTTTTGCATGACTGATTTGAACTTACAATTGTATATTTCAGAATTTAGAATTTTTATTACAGAACTTTATATTCTCAGAATACATTTCCTGTATTCTCTCTTAAACTTCCTTTCTCATATATTAGGCCAGAAATGTAAATCAGTATCAGTTAGCTGAGTGATTTACACAACATGATAATGTTGGAAGCTTGGAATTTTTATTTCCTGTTATGTTTAAATACTGAAGGATTAAATATTCTTAATTATTTACCTCATACTAGACCTTTTATTGTCATTTGTTTGCACTTGCACAAATTGTTTGGGTGGATATCCAAGCAAACAGGTGTGAGAAGGAATGGGAACCAACTCTTTTCTGTTGGCATCTTCCTTCCTGGTATTTTTAGTGCAAACTTTTTGCTCAAAACCAAATCTTTTCATGTACTTATTCATTCATTACCCACAGATTCCTGCAGGAGAGAAACATGTGAAGAGTGCCTCGTGGTGCAGAGATACCCATGCAATTTGATCTTCTAGATGTCAATTGCTTTACAGGAGTTGCTTTTTAGTAGCACAGAAGAAATTAATATATTTGGGTGGAAATTCTGGTTAAATTTATGTTTTTTAAAAGGTGGATTTTGCATGTTATCTTGTTGCCTCGACCCTGGAGAGAGGGGGAGGAAAATCTATAGGGTAGACCTCTTGCATTCAAGGAATTCCACAGTGAAACTATTCTTGTTAGCCTTTGTTTCACTGTACTTCCTTCAGACATCAAACTGCTCCCTGCTTAATGCTGTTTCATATTGTTTCATTGTGTGATTTTACTTTGCATGAAAACCACCTCGGTGTTCAGCCTTGTTCAGGCATATGTTTAAAAGCACTAAAATTCTTTGTGTGTTGTCTCTATTGCAGTGCAGCTGCTTGTTTGTGGCTGCTCAGGAAGAAATGGTACCAGAGAGAGAGAGTTGTCTGTCATGCTTTAGTCACTGCTGTGGTCAGCCCTCCTTCATTTTGCTCTGAAGTAACAGCAGTTCTGTAAGGATATCTTTTACACACTCAGATAAGTCCCAACAAGGGCTGGGACCCAAAAAAGTAAGCCTTGTGCTGTCATGGGTAGCCTTCCAAGGTTGACTTAGTACCATAAGCACAATGCTACAGCTTGAAGTACTTTCAGTCAGTTTATATTAAATGTAAATATAAGATAAAACAAGAAAAGTATCAAGTATACTTTTGCAGAGCACAGTGAAAAAACAATTCTGGCAGTTTGCATGGTGCGTGGAGCTATCCGGCAGTCAGGCATTGGCGTTCCAGACCCTGTCTGGGCAATGTGAGGCTGCTCTGTGATGAGCCTGGCTGAGTGTGCTGTATCTTGAGTGTTTCCTGGCCCAAGGGTATTACACAGCTGGGTTAGAACTCCTTGGGCTGCTGAGTGTTTTCCTTTGTCTTCTTGCAGCACACAACACACAGGTTCCTTTTCCAACGCTTCTATGGTATTCAGAATAGTAGTACCCTGTGGTTGTCCAGAGGTCACAGCAATTGGAATAATGAGCACTAGGTTCTTAATTACCTTGAATTATCTACACTTGGTTATTTTTATTGTAATTCATTACAGACCAAGCAATACCAATCCAGCAAAATGCCATGATTACTGTAAAGGTTCTTATTTTTTAAAGTCAGAAACTTATCTTAAATCTGACAAATGGATACCGAACTCTATTTCTCAAATACAATTTGATTCCTGACAAAAATGACCTTTGTTTGTCTTGAACAAAAACTTACAGTATTTTTCCTGTTGTTTTCACTTAATTTTGTTCTTGGAAATTCTGACAGCTCGTTTACATTGTGATTGATTATAACATTCCACATTATATTTTTAGAAAGTGCTGAATTATGCCTATTACTGCATGTACCTCTGAGTTGAGAGATATTTTTCATTTGATGTTGACATTTTTCATGTTTCATCTGATAATTTATATTCCTGTAAATGTGCAAGTGCTAGCTAGCACAGAAATAATTACCCTTGTCTTTATATTGGAGTTACAAGGTTTTAATGCTTTGGTGTTTGTCTGTGAAATCCTTTCAGTAGAATCTCTTGATATTGTTGTGAACTTTATGGGTGGATACAAATTTATTTTTTTTATCTGAGAAGTAAATGTTAAGCAAAGATCTAAATACTCTGCAAGAAATAGTTTTCTAGAGAACAGCCAAGACTTAAAGTCAAAATGGAAAATTTGTCCCCAGTACTTTTTATTCTTGGGTGAGTTTTTTTGCAGACTTCCAGGAAAGGGTAAGTAGTCCAGGATTTTCAGAAACAGGAGGCTAAAATACAAGAGTATCTGTACTGAAGTGTGAAAAAGAGATGTAGCCAGACACCATATTAGTTTAGTGTCTTGCTTAATAGCATCATGACAGAAAATAGCTGGGATATCTAAGGAAAGAATTGCTTTCTGTTTGTCATGGAGAGAAGATGCAAACAAGGTAGAGATCAGAGATCACAGGGAGGGGAAGGGAAGTGGTTTTACCACAAGGCAGTTAAAAGTACATGTCAGATGGATAGCCCTTCCTCAGATGTCTGAAAGAAGAACAAAGCTCTCCAACCCTGTTCCTTTCCTCTTCAACTTGTGCATGATATGTGGTCAGATAATACTAAAGCTAAAGTCATTAACAAAATTTTTATTTCTGTTTTCATTTCAGTTATTTGCCACCTTCCATGCATGAATGGAGGCCAGTGTAGTTCTAGAGATAAATGCCAGTGTCCTCCTAATTACACTGGAAAACTTTGTCAGATTCCCGTGCAGACTGCCAGTTCTCCAAAACTCTACCACCACCCGCAACAGGTGAACAAGGCTGTAGGATCACAAGTTATCCATTCTACTCATACTTTACCACTGACAATGTCTGGACAGCAAGGTGTAAAAGGTAACTTCTTTCTTAATAGGTATTTTTAACTTCTTGGTTTTAATGAATTATTTTGAGTATTTAACCAGTAACAATAGTGCAACATCTACACATATCAAATATTGAGACCACAACTTGAATCATCAGCTCACCAGAACGTGAAGGTATTTTCCTCAATGACTGAAATAATAAGAAATAACAGTCTTATTGAAAAGAGTTTGTAGGTAAATTTACTTTGCTTTATGGTACAACAATTTAATGCAAATTGCAGAGTCAAGGGATAATGCAGGGGGTTTCTTGCAGAAGTGTAGACCTCTTCAAAAAGACAATGATTGTGGCTGAACAGAGTCCATAAATTGCAGTGTACCTAGACAGAGACTTCAAGTGATTCCATGGTTACTAGTGGAGGGAAGAGACCATGCTTTTCAACATAAACAATCTTAAATCTAATATAAAACTAAAAATACAAGCATGTTTATCTATTATTGAAAAGAGCTTGTAGGTAAATTTACTTGGCTTTATGGCACAATTTAATCCAAATTGCAGAGTCAAAGGGTAATGCAGGGGGTTTCTTGCAGAAGTGTAGACCTCTTCAAAAAGACAATGATTGTGGCTGAACAGAGTCCATAAATTGCAGTGTACCTAGACAGAGACTGCAAGTGATTCCATGGTTACTAGTGGAGGGAAGAGACCATGCTTTTCAACATAAACAATCTTAAATCTAATATAAAACTAAAAATACAAGCATGTTTATCTTGCATGACTTAGTGGAGTCTTATAAGTTAGTTTTGTGGTGAACTGTTTAGTGTAGATAGGCCTTGTTATGATTCACTTAAATAGAACATTCCTTCCAGGCCAAATAACAATATCATTTGGGAAAAAAAAAAAAGTTTTACTACTGCTAATGCTGTGAAAAAGACAGCATTAAAGTCTGAAATGCATGAAAGTTCATTCAGCTTTGGATTACTGTTTCCTCTCATACTTTTGTTGTGAGGTGAAAACTTCTGATTACTTTGAAGAGAAGTGTTGTATTTGTTTCTTATGTGTCGTATGGGTCTAGGTAGTATTTTATCTGGGTGTAGTCTTGTCCATATAAAGTGACCCCTGCAACTCAGATTCTCAACATAGGACCTAATGTGAATTTTATTTGCTTGTTTGAATTGCCAGATTGATTTTTGGTCAGGGGTAATTTTAAAATTACCTCTTCAAGGTTGGTATCTCTGAATTAAAAAAAAAAAATATATAGGGAAAGTTGTGAGGAGGTTCAGTTACTGGCAAATAGTTTCTGAATAACTTTGCTAAAAGATATTTGTGATAAATATAATCTAACATTGTAATTCAGAAAAGGACAGAGCTGTGAAGGAACTGTTGACAGTATCCTGGAAATGCAATGTTTTATAAGTACTTTTGAGTATCTTCTCCATCCAAAGAAGAGAATATAATTACCTAAACATTCAGCAGAACATCAGTTTATTTTTCTGCCTATGTAATTCCAGATGAAATAATTTTAGACAATACAGTGGACCACAAGCCCCAAATTTTTGATACATAGTTATTCTTCAGATTCTCTCCTAAAATGCACATTAGGTTTCTCATTGCTAAAGAGTCTGACATCTTGAATATTTTTTCTCAACCTTCAAATCCTCATAGGAATCATTAGCAGTCACAATGCCTTTTCTTCTCTTTACGTGTCCAAATGAGGATGTTGGATTGTTGAGAGATGAATATTTTATTTCTTTAAAGGAAAGAATAAAACAATTCATCCTGAAATGGCTGGCAAAAATAAAAATGAGCACATCTAGGCAATGATCCAAGACCTGGAGAGGATTGTGATAATAATACTGCATGGGAGAACCCAGCCTAAATTTGATGTTTTCAGCATCTGAACATCTCTGGATGGATTGAGACACTAAAGCAGAGAAATTCAGTGATTTCTTTTGAGAAACTATATTTTTGAATCACTGTTTCTTTTGAATCACTATATTTTTTAGATTTAGCAGCTGGAGAAACTAGTTGAAGGGATCTCTCTTCATACATAAAAATATTGGAGTGAGTTTTGTTCTTTTTACAGACAGACTAGGCTGTCTTGTCTTGCCTTCTGAACCCAGTCTAACAACTGAAGAGGACCTCACTACTTCTGCTTGTCACACTGAAACTTTCCCCTGTGGGTTTGCCTCTGGCAGACCTCATGTAGCATACATTTTGCTTGAGGGTTGTTTTCAGCTACAGGCAAGGTCTTTACCCTGCAGCCATATTTTGCTGACTTTCTACCATCCTCTTCCTGATGTTTCTGTCTGAGTATGTTGACAAGTTTCGTAAATGAAACAATGCAGTCAGTGTAAAAATAAGTCTGTTTCTTTTAAGGAAGTCCTTTGTGAGACCAGTAAATATTGATAATGTGCCTAGAGAAATGAAAATAATGTCAAAAACCAAAAGCATTTCTCTAAAATATTATAATTTTCAAGTTGCTCCAATAGATGAAATATTGCTCCCGAGGAGTGGAGCTGAAAATACCTAATCAAGTTCCTAAAGAACAGTTCAAACTTCAAGAGACAAGGAGATAATCCAGAAGACTGAACAATGCAGTGTGCATTATAGAGAAAGCTGTATCAAATGGTATTTTATGGCTCTTGATGTTTGGAAGGGGTGCTGCCTCTGATGGACTGTGTGGCCTTGAGTAGCCTGTGCAGTACTTGCTGATGAGAGAGGCCCAGACAGACACAAGAAAGGATAACTTAGTTATGCAGCTTACAAACTCCACAGCTTGCTACACACCTCTCCACCCTGCCCACCCCAATAATAATTTGGTTTACTTTAAAGGGCATTTTGTGTTCCAGTGAAAAGAGGCTTAGGGGTCACAAGCAGTTCTGGGCAGATTGCATTGACTGGAGGGTCTCAGTCTACATACCCAGATTAGACTTACAACTGCAACCATATTTAAAAACGGAAGTGTCTGAAAATCATTTCCTCCCCCTTTATCTGCCAAACCCCGAATTCAAAGTTCAACAAAGGGAGTGGTGATTTTAGATGGTTGAGATTCTGGCAGCTCTTGCAGGGGCGAGCTTGGGACTTGGCAGGTATATAAAGATGAAGGGATGAAATCTGAATCTTTTTCTGTGTTCCAGAGAAAGATGATGGATCTGAAAATGAAAATAAAGCTTACTATATATCCAAAAATAACCTAGTAGACTATGAATTCTGGAACTTTGAATGGGATTCTTATTACACAGTATGACCACAAATATTAATGTGATACCAGCCAATTTGGACATCCATGTTTATCTTGCAGTCTTTACAATCCTATAATATTGTTCTTTCTTTCATGAAGATTTTTCATTTTCTTGCTTTGTTAATGAGACTCAATGTGTTCTTTAGCCTTCCCCCTAACCCCCAAATTTGGGCTTCATTTATATTTCAGTCACTTCAAGGCACTCTGTAAAAATTCTGATGTACAAAAAAGAAATGTCTTAGAGGTGCCTAAGATGTCTTTTTCACATATTTTATTACCAATTTCTCTTATGTGTTTTTCCTTCAATTATTTTAGTGAAGTTCCCTCCTAACATAGTGAATATCCATGTGAAACATCCCCCTGAAGCCTCAGTTCAGATCCACCAAGTGTCAAGGATTGACAGCACATCAACAGGACAAAAAGCGAAAGTTCCTCAGCCAGTACATCCACAGGTCTCTTACCAAGGTCTTCCGTATCAGAAGACCCAGAAAGGACATACAACTTACACAAATCAACAACCCATTCCTCATATGTTTCCTGTTTCAGTTAAAACTCAGCTTGGGCGCTGCTTTCAGGAGACTGTTGGGACACAGGTAAGAAATGTTTGCTAAGGCTTGCTGAGACAGGTAGCTTTAAAACTCTATTAAAGGAATGAAAAAAAAAATTGACAAATCCAACAGTTGGAGGGAAAGGACACATTTGACATCCTTTTCTGCAAGAAAATTATTTTGAGAATGTAACATTTTTTTAAGTAACATTTTTCTGAACCTCTTTCTCCTTCAAGATCATGTCTTTATTTTCTGGACTTGGGACCCTGACATTTTGGTTTCAATTATTTTTTCCATAGCTTTTTCTTTTTCTCATGGAAATTCCTATTCAGCAACTTTATATGTTTTACAGTATTTTAGACTGATGTTTTGAGTCTGTTGAAATGTGACCATTGAATGGTGTAAAAAAATCATGAAAGCCAACTGATTGTTCACTAGAACATTAAAACCTTAGTTCACTTAATAGTATATTCACACAATGTTTTTCATATAACTATTCAAAATTGTGTATCTTCTTTCAATCCTGAAAGCATGTGGTTTTATATTTGCATATATATTTGAATATACATATATATATATAGAGAGAGAGAGAGAGATTATAAGGATATGTGAAAAGATGATTAAGAAGTCAGTAAAATCCTGTTATTTATTGCTTATTACCTTTTTGAAATTTGGCTTTTCAGATCAAATGTCTTTAAGGTGAATGCATGCCTCAGACTGAAATAATGTGTGAGGTTTTAGGAAAAATCACTTGTTTTGGGAGGTAATGTTAGAGAATAAATATGTTGTTTTTCAGGCTAAAAAATACTTTATGACTCTATCATCAAACATGTGAGTTTTAAGTTTATCACAAGGGTTGCTTTGCTTTTGGTCCTTCCAGTAATATGCACCTAAAGTTAGCCAATTTTCAAGCATTGCATATTGTATGTGTTTCCAGTATATTTCACAAATGCTGCTTAGATGTTGGCACCCAAATTATCCAAAGAATTCACTGGCACAGAGCGTGCCTTCCCCTCAAAGGGACGTCACCCATCGCTCCTGAGATGTAGGACTGGAGCAAAATGCCCTTTGCAAGTGTTTCTTCTGGCTGTGTCTTCCAGCTGTCAGTGGATTTTTAAAGGCTTTTAAGTTGTGTGCAACCCCTGCCTTCACCCCACAAAAAAAAAAAAAAAAGAGGGAAGAGACCTCAATCCCTTACTCACAGATGGGCAAGGAGTTTGGAAAGGATCAGCATTGGGGAACAGACAGGAGCAGAAGTAGGATGCAGTCAGAAGCAGGGTGAAGGTGACAGAGCTGTCAGGTCCTAAGGTACTGAACTCCACCTGCTGAGGGCAAAATGTTGAGCTTGAAATCAAAGTTCCTTAGTCTCAGTCTCCTGCCATCTCTAACAAGTTGACGTGAGGATGCTTAAAAAAAGATTCTGCAAAATCCAATGGAGGGAGTTGATTTAAATATCACTGCACATCAAAGATTTTTTAGAAGACCAGAGTTAAGTTTGCATGTGGAACATTAAAGGCTAGACTTTAGTAATTTTCAAATTATTGGTTTGGGATCTACAGTTTTAATTTACACTGGTGAGTTCTTTGTGCTTGTCTGTTTCAAGCATATAAAAATCTTTTTTTTCAACAATTATTAAAGCACATGGTCAAATGGATTTTACATGGAAAAATGAAGTGGGGCCTGTGTTTACGACCATTTCTCTCTATTTCCTAAAATGAGCAATCTAAGAAGCTTGGCATCATAATGTGCAATCCTAAAAATCTGGAAATAAGTGTGATAATTAATAGTTGTTTTTTATTTTTGGTATTTCTTTTTGTACTCATATATAAAGAAATACAAAGTTACTTTCTTGGTCTTACTCTTTGGAGTGCATGCTGTTTTATCTCCTGTCTCCTTTTAAAGGGGGAGAAAAGGGAAAATAAGCTTGCATTACTCTCATATCTGACTTGGAATCCTACTAAATGCTTAGTCCCCAATTTTTATAACTTTTTTTTCAGTATTTCCCCGGAAATAATCAAGAAAGGGTATTGCCTCCTAGTTTAGAACAGTGCATGATCTCAGTTTTTACAAATTTCATTGATCAGTGTCAAACTTGAAGAAGAGCATAAGTAAGGATTTCAGAGGCATTCTGTTAGAGTGATGGTTCAATTTAGAATTGGAGTTATAGAATGGCATTTTGTAGAACATTCATTTAAGACCTTGCCATAAATATAGGTCAAATATAGATCTAAGTGACTCATTTACCTTTCAATTTTGAATCTGAAATGTTACTGTTTTTCCTGCAACCAGTCAGTGCTTATGCTTATGTTAATATTAAATATGCCTTGAACTGGGAAAGATGGGGTTTTTTTAAGTGCTTAATAGACCTACTCTTAAAGAATTAGCTTTTCAGTTTTTCATATTTGCTTTGATATCTCTGTGGGTTCTCTCTGTTTGTTCAGATGTGATACTTAAATGAGCTTTCCCTATTAGTAGCAATGTGTTGCAAGTCCTTTCTGGAGCTGATGCTGGATAATTTTGATACCCATACTTAGTTCAACAATCATCAGTGTTTATACATTTTTTTACAGGGTGGATTGTGTATTTGGCTTCAGACATGTTTTATTAAATATCCTGGGATCCTGAGATTACTGTCTGTAGAGCAGATTGGTTGAAGGATTTGTGTGTGGCCTCTTGTAGACAAATCAACTAAGTTGATGAGGGCTTTGCTGAACTTACTCTTGGTCTACACTAAAAGCACAGGATTAAAACTGTATCAGGATCTCTTTTGTGGTTTTGTGTGCAAGTGTAACTTCTCCCTTTCTGTGTTTCTCCCCATACCTTGTTCTCTCCTTCTTCCTTGAATTTCAGCTGCTCTTCAGTTACAGGTCCTTTGATTTTAGTGCTCTGAGGTTTTTTTCATAATCTTCTGTGGAATATTTTTCATCTCCCACCACATTCTTCCTTGTCCCACCTTAGTTAAATTCCCTTAATGTATCTCATTCAAAACCAGTAGGACACTCAATTTCCAAGACAGAGTGCATTTTCTGCAGTGAATTTCTAAGCAAGTGCGTGCTGTTACATTTAGCAGCTGGAGCCACCTTGAACTGAAGTTCAGAGGACATTAGGGCACAGACAGTTGAAGAATCTGGTCATATTTCCAGGCCTACAATCACTTTTCACACAATTAATGACATAGGATTTTTTTCAGACCTCTTTCCTTAGCTGTCTGTAGTATCATAAGTGATTGTAACCAAAGACAGCAACCATGAGAATAAGCTAGTAAAAGGTGAGTGAAAAGATGTCAGTCTACCCGCTCAGAAGGACAGGGAGAGTAGAGGGACAAGAGGAATGAAATTTCCCAGTTTAATAAGAATAGATAAATAAAGACTTGTATTTTTGTAAATACAGGTACACATGTATGTATGTATGTATGTGCTGTTTAATTGTGATTGTTTTCTGAAGTATGTGTTTCTCAGCACTGTGAAGTAAAGTGGAAAGAAAACTACAAAAGTATCATTACTATTTGAATTTTTAAAAGATATTATAGGAAGCAAATAGTTCTGTTTTTTTCTCAAGTCAATTCACTTTTCCTGGCTGCCTCTCTTTTCTCTGAGTGGAACACTCAGCATTTATTTCTCCTCTAGGAGATGTTAATGGTGATTGCTCCAGGATAATGTATCATATTACATGGTAGCCCACAATGATACATCCCACAAAAAAGTTGTGGCTCATCAAACTTTTTCCTAGTACCACAAAGATTTTTTTCAGGGTATATCATAAACCATGTTAAGCTGCAGACCATAAACTTGCTGTTGACATAAAGATATAGGAAACAAACCTTTACCTAAACTTGCCCATTGTTATATAGAAAAATGGTGTAGGAGAAATAGAGACTTGAAGTTGGGAAACAGACATAATGGAAGCAGTAGGACAAAAATCCCAATTAAGATGGAGAGCAGTAACTTCTGGAGAGCACTCTATAATGGTGCCTTCAAAAGCTGGAGACTGGGCGTAGTGTCCTGCAAAACATTTTACAGCCATGTGGTCCTTTGTTTCTGAAATCCAAGGAGCTGGTCATCTTAGAGCACTGATTCACTAAGTCCTACTTAGAAAGCAAGCAAATAAGGAAGATTTTGTTCCTCTTTAATTCTTCCTCTTCAGATGATTTTCATTTTAGCTCTAATAAAAATGCCTTTATTATGACACAGGATATCTTATTTCCCAAAATCCTTCTAGAGCATCAGTGGTGTACTTAGTGAAGGTTGTGTTGGTATTCTTGAGCCCTGTTGATTTTGCATATAATTTCTTTACATTTAAATCAAGAAAATAATGCACTTGCTTACTGTCCATAAAAATCCATATAAAGATAATGGAGCACTACTTTTTTCACCCCTAAAGAGTTGTTTGGGGTTCTTCTTTGCTTCAATGTAAAAAAATTTGCAAAATGGCAAGAAATTGGAGAAGGTGGTACTGCAAAAAATTCATCTAAATCAGGATCTTTCTGTCTAGATTCACATGTAATGCTGTTCTCTTCCCCAGACGTTTTTGGATATTGGTTTACGGAAGGAGGCTTCTAGTGATCTCAGCATCTGTAGTTTAAAACCAAAATTAAAAACCATTGTTATTCTAGAGAGAGACAGATACTGAAATTGCTTTCCTTGATAAAGGGAACACATAGCAAAATGTCCAGAAGAGAAGCTGGCTATGAAGTCAAGTCTGCCTATGCTTGTTCATTCCTCCTCATGTAACTGCTGAGAGGAGCTGGACTGCTCTGAAATAATCACTGCAAGAATGTCAGAAATACTGTCTTCTGATCCCCCCTTCTTCTTGTGGTACTTCAAATTCAAGTCAGTCCAGGCTGCTGTATTGGGTGCTATGGGTATATGTTCCATTCCTCACTATCCAGTGGTTTGCTGCGTGATGCTTTGTGCTTCTCTTGCAAAGTGCTTTAAAAGGTGTTGCAGAAAGGGTCCATAATTGTTACAGCTTTGTTCAAAAGGACACCTGAATTGGAGTTGTTTTGGTATCATGAAGTGAAATTTGGTGGATTATAGTGATACTTT